TCATGTCTTTTCTTTGTCAGGTTCGATTATTTACGTTAGCCCATTTTATTTTTAGTAATTTCACACGAGAAAGGTTTTCAAAGGGGCTTCGGTGGTCGGTAAACCCGAGATGAAAATAAAATCCTCCGGATGGTGTGAAGGAAAAGCAGAGACCAATCTGGGGCGCACTCGTAAATTACGTTTTCGTAGCAATTGGCAGTTGTGCGGGATAAAAGAAACAAGTCCTCTTTTTCAACCTGTTACCCATCTCAGCTTCAGAAGCAGGAGCCAGCCTGCTCTGAGCCCCTTCCGTTGTAGGTATTCAATCTTTGAGGGCGCCCTCTCACCACGGTTATACATCATGAGGTGAATTTATTTTACTTGCTCCGAAGAACCAGGAGTAATCAAATAAGTGGGTTCCCATAGAGCCTAGCCAGGGATGCGATCGACAAACCCTTTCATAAAATTAGTGCGATATCGATACTTGAGTTACAAGGTACACCATAGCGGTGAACACATTCGATAGGATCGATGTTTTACCCAACGCTAGTGCGGAACAATTGGAGACGAACCTCAGCGCATCTTGTTCCTTCCGGGTCCCGACAATTGGGAATTTATGACCAACCATGGACTGAATGAAAATCCCATAAATTGTTATTTTATAAATAAGAGTAATACGCGGATTTCTCTTTAATGCGATTTATATTCAAACCGCAACGTTTTACCGCAAGTTGCCGGGCCTTCAATGTCTGATGTATGATAATATTATTCAGGGATTCGGATAAACAATATCTGATGAAAAAACGCGTCTTCTTTAAATGTCGTTCCGATGACCTAGTTATTTCGGATTAAGCTGAAAAGTAAATGTTTTTGGAGGCAGAGAAAGAGAGAGTGGAACCTGAGTATCCGGAAGGGTTAAATTTTCTTCACCGCTTCATTTTAAAATACCCACTCAAAGTTCACATCACTTTCATAGAACCAAAACCATTGATTTATTTGGGGGAGGGAGGGGGAGGCTACCAGTTTGTAGTAAGACAAATATCTCAACGTGCGGCTGCGCAAAAATATTAGTTTTCAAAAGGTCTCCGAGGCAAAAGATACCAATTAAAATTTTTTTAGAGGTCTTGAATGCGATATCCAGACGATTCACTGAATTTCAAGGAAATTAAAGCAATTTCCCAAAAATCAAGGAACTCAAGGGGAAAAAATTAAGAAATGTATAATAGATGTTTTCTCTATCAATAATTTTCATCCCGTTTAGCTCCCTAAAATTGTGTGAATGTACATTTTAGTGTTATTATGCTGGTGGCATGGAATACAGAACCGGTTGGTCCAGTGACATCGAAACCCTGAAATTCGCCCTCAATTCACTGGGCTGACAACAATCCAACTCAGGGGAACTTGAGGATGTATTTCTAATCGAACGGAGCTATGTGCATTAAGACATGAGCCCTGAGACCCATAAGAATGTGTGCATAACAGGGCTTACGTCATAATGCACATAGTTCCGTTTGATAGATATACGTTCTGTTAGTCTCGCCCCATGCTTTGATTATGATTTCGGCATCAATTCAGCTGGACAGGCAATGCGTCGCTTTCCTAATATGAGGGCGTAACTACATGTCGTCATGAGCCTTGTCGTCCATATAAAACCCAATGCTTCCTCGGGCTCATCTCAAACTGTAGTTACGCCTTTTTGTCAGCCAAACGACGAATAAACTAACCCGAAACTTTTATTCAATGACTGACCCGATATCGGGTCAGTCATAGTCGGGTCTAGTCCAAATCTCCTAGGAGATTTGGACTAGATTTTCCAGTAGGAATCCACTGCTCCAGACTCGTGGATAAAGCATAATAATATGTTCAATCCGTTTCGCGATGCAGTTAGACGATTTCATAGCCTCCATTTTTATTACTGTCCTAAAGGAAAACTCTGCCGTGTGCTATTCGCATGTTGCCAATTTTTATAGAAATCATATTTATTTTTGAGAAAATTTATGAGAAATACCCTTAAAAATTTTCAGATGCGTTGGAGTAAATTGCAGACTAAACTCTTTGAACAATTAAAGACGAAATTTATAAGTTCTTCAGAAAAGTAGTAATTAATTTAAAGAAATTTCACAACGCTCGAAGGCTCGTACGGAATCAGCGCCGCGGCGTGAATGATCGATTATCTATATATCCCGATTTAAAGCTGCGGTGAAGAATCGATTATGAAGGTGTTCGTTGTGAACGCTCTGTTTATCGGACCTTTTCCATGGGTTTAAATGGCAGATCAATCATATATCGCAAAGCACGCCACGCCAATGTGCAGGATTTTCTTTCAGCAAATAAGGAGTATGATGAGAAAATGACTGTAATATTACTACTGCATACTCATAGTTTTCTTAGTTTTTTTCTTCAAATGGTGTAAAATTCATCGTAAGATTAGAGGTGAGCTAATTTACGAAATTTCGAAATGGAATCAGTTATCAAGTCACCTCTCGTAAATTCTAAGGTAACAACGATGGGTCGTAAAAAGAAGTTGGGGCGCAGGAGAACGACGATTATTGGGACTACAAAAAAAGTTGCCTCGTCTACATTATCCCGGAACGAATTCAATCGATCTGAGAGGCAATCGACGGACAAGAATACGACCGGGGGAAAAAATTCAATGACCATAAATGTACCCCTCATTTATTACGACGGCTAACCATATATCTTACGATCAATGGTACTTCGGCGAATGAATCTACAATAAGGCGGAGTTCTGTTGGTCAGTCTCCTAAAAAATTAGTGGACCTACGTTTTTAGAGTATACTAGCAGTTCTGGGCGCGCTTTGCGCGTCCGTCATGGTCGGCCAAGGGGCTGCGCCCCCTGGACTCCCGATCACTCGCTACTGACATATTTCCTCCAATAATTGTCCAATTTAGAAACCACGGATATCCTCGTAATCAGTTGTCCTAGCATTTTAAACATGAAATTCACAAAATTTAAGACACCTGCAAGTTGTCTATTGATGTTATTGCTAAGTGTAAGAATGAGGAAATTTTGAAAAGGACACGACGACTAATTTTTGTTGCGAAGAACTTTCTTCACTCTTGATTCTGTAAACGAGAGACCCGAACATAACATGCAAAATATCAATGCTTCAATTAATGTTTCGAATCCAGCTTCAGTTGATAATCACCAACCCTGGTATTTTCAACAACTTTTTGTTAAAATGATGTATACAATTTTGTCTCTTCCAAAGACCATTCTCACGTAAGGTTTCCCCCTTTTTCCGGTGAACACGATTGTAAAAATCAATATTTGATTCGACAAATTTTAGACCCATTAGCGCAGCAAAATTTAAGTAAGCAAACAGTATCATGTTTAAACTCTTCCACGAAATCAAGGGTTTAAGTTTCTGCATCTTCTTTATCTCTTTTAAAAACAGCATTGCAAGAACAAAACTTTAAGTGGAGACTGCAGCATCTGCAACTCAAAATCCTTCACGAGCGGGAAACAGCTCAATTTTTGTTCCGTCTATTCGATTACAATTAGTGAATTTGTGATGAGTTAGTGGGCGAGTAATTCCACGAAATAGGAGCTCTCTCAGTTTGATTCATGGCCATAATTTTTCACTGGAGTAGGGAAGCGATAAGCCCTGCTATCACACACAAACGTTATTACCCAGTGACGTGGCGTGCTTTGCGATATATCGATTGGTCTGCTATTTAAACCTATGGAGAGGATCGATAAACAGGGTGTTTGCAACGAACGCCTTACTAATCGATTCTTTGCCATGGCTTTAAATGGGGGAAATATCGATAATCGATCATTCACACCTCGCCACTAACGTTATTACGGCGTATTAATCAAAGTCGTTGGATGAATATTTCCATTTAGCGAGGAAAATATTTAAACAATAAATGAAGATTAACCTCGGCAGCAGGAGAGAGAAAAAGCTACGCGTGGTCCTCCTACACTACAAAGCCAGGAATAAGAATAGGCTCACTGGCGCACGTGAGCAAAAGCTGCATTGATAAAATGTTAAACAAATCTTGACATCATACATTTTTGAATCATTTCCTTTAGTTTTTCCTTTTTTTCTTGTGTGAAGAAGGAGCACAACAAGCATGGTTCCGTAAAGTTACTGGGCGTATTTGAGCGTTCATTTCGTGCGTGTTTACTGAATATAACAAAAAAAACAAGAAAAAAGTACTCGTAATAACTGATGTAGAAAAAACATTAATATTGCTAACAAATCCAAAATTGGACGCGTTTATGCTAAAGGCAACTATTTCTCACGCAAACCCTATGCACATAGTTCCTTTTAGCAGAAATAAGTCCAATTATCATAGTGAACCAGGGAAAAACTATCATTTGATGTAAAACCATTGATGACGAGCGGAAAAGCTCTGATACTTGCTAGGTAAGCTTTTTTCCCCCGAAGAATATGAGCACCGTTGAGATGAAAGAATTCGCTCACCAAAATTTCAATCATCAATTTTTAGAAAACTGCACTTCCGTTAACAAAATAAATCAGTAGAGGGACGGTCACCGTCCTCCGTGCTTTGGCATCAGAAGCACCAAATGAAGGTATCACAGATAAATCTATGCTTTAGGGCCCCTCTCGCCGTCTCTGTCATCCTATTGCTGAGCTGGTGCGCCTCACGAATGCATTGCCACCATTGTTCCGACTTTTCACGGTTTTTCCCATTTCGGACAGACAGTAGGTATACTAGAATTCTAGTGGCAGGTCAAAATCAAATAGCACTCCCTATTGGATGAGCGCTTAGAATTAGTAAGTAAGGCAGAAAAGAACATTGTAATTCATGGCTATCTCAAAATTATCCTTGTAAACCACAGAAAAACTATCATTTTGAATGGGCGCTTTGATGACAGACTTTAAAAATAGCACGATTCAGTTATTGACATTTTCTCAAGTCAAAATTAATAAACTCATGATTTACTCAAATGATAAGTTAGGGTGCTCTCATTGGGTGCACAAAATGGGTTCAAGCAACGAACTGAAATAAGGCACTGGGGGACGTACCTCTCCGCACTCCTTAGTGACCGAGTCTCCATTTTCGACCCGGAATCTCTTGCCTCCGGACTCTTGACCATTATTTTCAACTTGAGGTAGCTGCAAAAAAGAAACAAATACATCATATTTTGAGTCAGTCTTTTTTTTCTGTTTTTTTTTTCTTTTTTTTCTTTTTTTTCATCAAAAGAAAATTACCGAAACAACATGCTAAAGGCCTATCCACGGCACGGTGAAACTGCGAGACCGTGTACCTCATTTGCGGTGTGTTTCAAAATGTCCGTTTCAATTTACTTTCACGAAGGATAATGAACCAACACTTTGCTTAAAGTTTAGAAATATGTTTCAAGCAGAGAAGTTGATTATTTAATTAGTATCTAGAAATGACGCTGTGATCTCCTTACAATCGTTTTGCCAAAATTGTTTGCCTTGCCAGCTCTTGTTTTGACAAATCCGGTTAATTTTATGCATGCCAATTTATATTTTTCCATTAATTTTGACAACCAAGGCTGAGTCTCGTTCCTCCTGTAGAAAACAGACGACGGTTTTTTTTTTCTTTTTTTTTTTTTCTTTTTCAATAGAGCGAATTTATTTTTTCGTCCGCGTAAAAAAAATATTCATTTCGTATTTGTAAATCATCAAATGATTAAAATGGTTGATTACTGCCATATCGACGCGGTGAAACTACCAAACCACGTATCTCGTTTGCGGTGTTTAAAAATCTCCGCTCCGATTTTATTTTTTTTTTTGATGGAGAACAATTCAATATCATTTCTTGAAATTTTCACAGACTTTTCTTGGCACAGAGAGGAAAGAACCCGGTAGTTCTCAAAAATTGTTCCAATCAAGTAGTTTTCCATTTAAAAATGAAGTATGACAAGAAGTCTACAACGTCGCAAACTGAGATACGTGGTCGGGTAGTTTCACCGTCGATACACTTTACTAATTTTTGTTTACATTTTTCCATTTTCTTTGTTTAATGAATGTCCCATTGTTTTTCAATATTTGAAATTTGTCGGAATTGCTTTTATAGTCCAATCATATCATCAACGGGCGAATGCTGTCAAAGACCGATTTTTTCGGCCTTGACATCTGTCCTAACGCAATTGCGCAATTTCAATCAAAGTCTCTCGCTAAATAGGATAGGAGGCATTTGTGTGCACATGCAGATTCATTTAATGAAACATCGAACACGACCGTTTGCCTGCGACAGACGCATCAACAGGAGAGTTCGACTTAATTTTGCCATTCGGAACTATAACTTCCGACCCATCTGTAAAAGCACTTATCTAGATAGAGTAACTAATGGTACATACGGTGATTTTAAACTGAGGCACAATTTATAGTTCCTAATTGCGAAATGTAGTCCAGTTCATCTGCACGAGGAGGAAAACGCCCGTTTTAGAACTCGTGCGCGCGCGGCTATATACAGGGTGATCCAAACCGCCCGTCCACTATCTTTTTCTCGAAAACGGCGGAGAATTGAGCTTCGGGACAAAAAACTTTCATGGGGTAAATCGACCCCAAAGATTCGAATGAAAATGTTTTCAGCCCCCCAAAATGGCCCCTTGGGGGGGGGACCTCGCCCCCCGTTTCTCGCGATTTTTAAAAAGGATGGGTATGTTTTGACTCTAGATTCGGAATCTACGGCAGAAAAAAAGAACATTTTGTTTTTTGCACTTTTTCCCTAAGCCCCCATTTTTTGGAGTTATGGGGCATTATTTTTGGGGCTATTTTCAAATCGATGCTGTAAGCAGCCAAATTATTCAAATTTCAAAATCTAAAAATCTCCTGAGAGGATAAGTCAATACCTTTTTCATGATGTGCCATATGACCCATGTTGCTCCAAAATTTTGGGGGCCACGACCCCCCAAAATTTTTGGGGCTTTGGAGGGCCGTAAGTCGAAAATTTCAAATAGCAAGGGTATGTTTTGACTTCAGATTTGGATTCTACGCAAAAAGTTACGCAGAATTGTTATGGCGCATGGCCTGTTTGCTCAAATGTTTTTACCCCTTATTTTCTCCAAAAATACACGGCTTCTTATGGGGAAATGGGGTCCTTCCGTAATTTGGAGCAAACAGGCCATGCGCCATAACAATTCTGCGTAACTTTTTGCGTAGAATCCAAATCTGAAGTCAAAACATACCCTTGCTATTTGAAATTTTCGACTTACGGCCCTCCAAAGCCACAAAATTTTTAGGGGGTCGTGGCCCCCAAAATTTTGGAGCAACATGGGTCACATTGCACATCATTAAGAAGGTATTGACTTCTTCTCTCAGGAGATTTTTAGATTTTGAAATTTGGATAATTTGGCCGCTTACAGCATCGATTTGAAAATTGCCCCAAAAATAATGCCCCATAACTCCAAAAAATGGGGGCTTAGGGAAAAAGTGCAAAGAACAAAATGTTCTTTCTTTTTGCCATAGATTCCGAATCTAAAGTCAAAACATACCCATCCTTTTTGAAAATCGCAAGAAACGGGGGGGCTGCCCCCCCAAGGTGCCATTTTGGGGGCTGAAAACATTTTCATTCGACTCTTTGGGGTCGATTTACGCCGTGAAAGTTTTTGTCCCGAAGCCCAATTCTCCGCCGTTTTCGAGAAAAAGATAGTGGACGGGCGGTCTGGATCACCCTGTACTTCTCGAGGTGGGACAAATCCGTGCGACCAAAGGGAGGCCTGTCTTTGCGTCGCCGGATCGTGGGACATAGGGCCTTCGTCTCGTCGGAAACAGGAAGCGTGTATACAAGGAACCAAGGGCGACTGACTCAGCAGCTTCGACGATCAAAAAGTTGGCACATTAACCTCTCACCTCGGCGCCACGTCCCTAGGTTCCCTGGGGATACATGACGCGTAAGTGTTGGGAATGAGACCGCGGATATGGGCGGACCCTGTTCGCGGCGATGCGGGAAAAATGTGTGCGTTTCATTCACAAAATGGTTCCTTGCGGGCGTTCTCGCACATAGCTTTCGGAAACGGATCGAAGCTATTAGGCTTTCCGTGGAACTACGTTGCCGGCTGAAGAACCCTTCGTAGAGGGAAGTATTTAATAAATGGCTTCGAAAAATGTTTAAAATGGACCACTAGACAAGGTACGAATTTAAGCAATCTGATACATGTTTCTTAACCAAAATTTCACGTGAAACACGATTCACACTACGAAAATTACCGAAATCAACTTCTAACGAAGATATTAACGTTTTTATTTCGCACTGATTACGAGGAATTTGAACTGCCCGCTCACAAGAAACTCAAAGCTCTACGTGAGTCAAATCGCGCACTACAACGGTTTCAGCAAGCTTCTCAATCGAGCAATGTTCATTTTCCACCATGTGTTGTTCAAACTATTGGTAATTTGCTATAGCTGAGCCAAAGTGTCAAGATTGAAGTTGAAGATTTTTACATCGCAGAGACTGTCATGATAAAAATTTAGCGCGCGATGTGAATCACGTAGAGCATTGAGTTTTCATGAGCGGGTGGTTTGAATTCACGCATCAAGAATCATTAAATATCTACGTCAGGAGTTGATTTTGGTAATTTTCGTTGTGCGTATCGTGTTTTACGTGAAATTTTGGTTGAGAAACATGTATCAGAACGCTGAAATTCGTACCTTGTCTAGTGGTTCATTACTCCATTATAATTACATCGAAAAACTGGATGCTGATTCAACATTTTGGATGTAAAAAAGTGTGCGACAACTTACAAAACGCTGAATCAACCACTACAGTAGTTACTTTAGCAGTCAATATGTACCTACAACTGACTACTGTGGTGGTTGATTCAGCGTTTTGTGAGTTGTCGCACACTTTTTTACGTTTAGAATGTTAAACCAGCGTCCGTTTTTTTCAGTGTATAACTGAAGAGTGACAAACCAGTTGATTGCTCTTCGGAATCTCAATGAAAGGTAGCAAAATAAATCAAATCTTAGCGTACAAAAATGCTAGTGGAACCAATACTTGATTATTTTATGATAAGAATGCATTTTTGAGGACCAAAACCGTCTCAAAATGTGTATGCAAATAAAAAAAAAACACACGCACAAGAAAACGGGTTATCAAGGCTAGAAAGCAATACACACGAAGCCTGGGATGTTTTGGGGTGGTTTCAACCTCCTCCTCGACCAGGTATGGACCAGATCCGACAATACATCGATAGATAAATGCGAAAATGCGTACCTTAATCGCGAAATCTAATGAAAATATTACCTTGCAACTCTCCGTGTTGGGTCTTTTTTTCATTATAAAATGAGTGAAGATTTACAGAAAATGTTAGTACAAGTTAGTTCTCTTTTAAAAAAATAAAACATTAGCAGAGACTCACAACGTCACCATCTGAGTAACGTATTTTTCTACCTCGGCCGTTGATATGGCGAAAAAAATATGCGTTTATGAAAGAATATATTTGACAACTTTGGAGCTCAGAAACATCGCCACGGGGAGCGAACCCCCGCGAATTACCCCCTAGAAATCACGCGGAGCCCAAAACAAATACACTGAATGGCGCTTTGTCTCGGCGGAGACACGGTGCGTGGCTACGGTGCTGTCAAGTTGTCGTAAGAATTCCACTTTAATGCGTTACGGGGAGGAGATACACATGCTGCGTGCTCCGACGGCAATGCTGCGTGGAGCAGGGGAAGAGTACGTCGTTCCAGTTTTGACCCACAAAATTTTAAGGCAACTACCCTCTTGAACTCAGCGACCGCCCTCGCGTCAAGTTTTTAGATTTACTTTCCGTCCCCTCGGAATTGGCATCTGGTTTACAGCGAAATGGGAAGAGTGGTGGGTCTTACGTAGTGGGCTCATTAAACATGGATGATTTGTAATTGAGGAGCTTTCCGGGAAAAGGGCACGTGGCAAAAAATTGCGTTTGAGAGAAATGCATTTGAAGTTTTGGTCATTACTTCATGGTCACTGAAAGTGACTTTCGTTCAAAATCGGGAGTCCAAAATGCGATAAAAGGTACCATCAGTGGCCAGAAATTAATGATGGAAACTTAAAATGCATTTCTCTCAAACGCTATTTTTTGCTACGTGCCCTTTTCCCGGAAAGCTCCTCAATTCCTTCAACACGTTACGGAACGCTAATGAGGATTGAAGAGCGGGGACTCTCGCAGCGTAATTTCCGCGCATTCCATTCAAACCCAACTGGACCCGTCGGCAACCTCAAAAGATAAACATCGTTTTACACATCATCTCAATTAAATATCATAGAGAGTACGCAAAAGGCTCAACTTTTCTGAATTCGGCTCATGGGTGAAAAAATGGCGATTTGTGTCTGTCAGTGCAGATCTGGCTTTCGCGAAAGAGCCGTATGCGAAAACTACATTTTTCGCCCCCCCCCCACTAAAACTTATTCAAACTTCGTCTATCAGTTACTGATACTGGAGCGCTTCTTTCCCCAAATTTTCAGACCCCCAAAAAATTTTGGGGGGGCGCTAGGGGGGGCGGAAGTCAAAACCCGTGACCCTCGATATCTTTCGAACGAAACAAGATATTGAGGCCCGGTTTGGACGAAAAATCGTCGAAAATTGCACATTTTAAGATTCTAAAGGTCAAAATCCCAAAATTAAATTTTTAACTTAACTTATGTGCTTTTTTCAGTTTTTGAGGAAAAACAATTTCTTTTAAACAGATTAAACTGAAATTTCACATTTTTTTATTTGAACCAAAACCAGTTTTTTTAAATTGTTCGTCTTTTTCCGCATCCAACGAGTGGTCGTATCAGCTGGAGAACCGAACGGTTCCGGAGTTATGATCGATTGAAGTTTCCGCTCAACGCGCGCCGACCGATTTTCGCGCGCAAAAAAGTCGGATTTGACTGTTATTAAATCAGATTTAATGTTCAAACTGAGCAAAATGCATTATAAGGGACTCTTGAGGGTCGCTGAGTCCAGAAATTACAGATACTTCCAAAAAATGCACGTTTTTAAAATTACAGCTCCGCACAGGATCACTGAGCGGCCGGTCGGCGCTCAGTGGGCCTCTAAAATAGCGCTACGGAGCTGTAATTTTAAAAACGTGTATATGTTTATATGTGTTTTTTGGGTCGCTGATAACGAATTTAAAGTCAATTTTAGTTTAGAAGTTAGCGTAAAATTCCGCTATGTCCAAGGGTTTATCTAGAGCCTTAGACTTAATCTAAAGATATAAAATGAATCATGGTAATCCTTGAAATGAACTTAAATTTTCGGATTCCAGCCTCAAAACGATGTTTCTTGGCCTGTATTGGCTATGCAGCTCAATTAGAAACACCACTTTACTGTGATAAGTGAAGAAACAGATAGAACCGCGGAAAGACGGGTCTGGGCGCTCGCCTTTGGAAGCTTATCATTTCGTTATTATTCATCCAATCATTCTGATATTTGACCGAAATACTCTCCAGAGTATGTAGTGTCGAGCAGTAGTGTTATTTTTCATTTATTCAAAAAGTCATTTTTTCGAATTAATGCCGCCTAGATCGGGCTCTGGAACCAATGTGCGGCGCGGCGCTGCCACTCCCAACCAAAGTAGACTGTTGAGCGACGAATCAGCAATCATTTAAAACTCCTTCATTACAGTGGATATGCAATTTGATCTCCTAGGAGTTAAAATAGTTGCTCGGCGACCGAACAAGTCGGGAAAATTTCAAATGACTCGTTTGGCAAAAGAGAATCAACTTGCGGTTCCTTTTTGCAAAATGCACTGGGCTGATCCTACGAATATCTCATTTTTGCGGTGCAGTTAAAAGGTTTTTAATAGGGCATTGAAGGGTTTGATTTTTAAGTCATCAAGTACACCTCGTATCGTCCACATCATTGTGTTCTTCTCCATCTCCTTTCTTCCCTAACTCGCTACTCTCCGTAACGCTACGCACGGGTCATATCAGTCAGTGCTGCTTGTAAAGATTAAGACCAGCTGACGGAAGAAGAAAAAGTGAAAGCAAACCGTGAGATATTTTGGTGTTCACTCGGTTGTTCGTTTTTGTGTAATTAAAATAATTTGTTTAGTCGTTAAATAAGAGAAAAAAAGAAGAAGAAAACTGTGACCCGAACTGTGCGTAACAAGATGGTACAATTGTGCAAAATCCACACTTTTTTTCGGAGAAAGCAAGGCCGACAAGTTCGAAATTTTTAATTGGAGAAAAAAATTGAGTATGCCTTCTCTATTTTATAAGAACTATTTTACCACCTTGTTTAGTTGTTGATCGCGTTTAATTATTATCTGAGTGTCGGTCAAATTCTCAGCTTTTACTAATTTATCCTTCCGCTCAAACTTGTCGCAGGAACGCGCGAGGCCTATCCCGTGGAAAAAGTAATTTCAAAAAATCCTCAGAGTTTCATTCCCAGGATTCGATCTTGAGACGTATCTCAATGAACGTCCTGTAAAGATAAGTTCCTACGTACAGCTGATTTATTGATTGCAAAGTTAGCAATTTTAAAGTTTCCCCCGACAAAATCATGAGTTTCGAAAATTCTAAAATGTGCGTACAGAAATAAGGACTCACCATTTCAACGGAGCCATAATGCCGTCTACTGAACACACCGCGACGGGATATGAGATCATTGGACGAGGAACTGAAACAGAGAAAAAGTAAACGAACTTGTTATTTTTGTGCATCGAACGCAAAACAAAGTGAGGACAAAAGGAAATTATGAGCAGATAATAACGAGAGAACGGTAAACCGAGCCTAGAACTGCTGGAGGAATTATATGCTCCAGTTGGTTCCACGCACAAAAAGCTTTGGAAGTAAATAAGAGCCGTTGGCGGAACCAACAGGAACCGGCGCACAGTGGATCGAATCAACGGAAGAAGTCGGACATGAAAATTTTGACAAAAATTGTAAAATTTTACGTTTACCTCATCACAATTTTAATTTTAAGGGGTGCTTTTTATAGACAATTTTAAGAGAAAACCAATGAAAATATTTTTAAAACATCAATATTGCATATTAATGAAGATATATGCTTTTAAAGTTTCTAAATTATGTCCGACCTCTCCCATTGACTCGATCCACTGTGCGGCGTGGGTTGGTGGCACATATTGTCGCCACTCCAACGTAAAGGCGTATCTCTATTTCCATGTGAGCCGCAGGAAGCGTAGAGTTGTACGAGGAACAGGGCTCACATGAAAATCGAGGTACGCCCTTACGTCAAAGGGGCCACGATATTTAGAATAGAACCAAGGTGTGGACGTGTGAAACGAGCGTTTTTAATACGATGGGGGTGAGAGGCGGTTAAGGAGGGGTGGGTTTCGTGACGTAGCGGCGAAAATTCCGTTTTCCATCGCTGAGGGGCGCTAAGCAGCTACGTCAGAGCTTGTAAGTTGCATCACTCCGGTAAACGATGAATGATCTCGAGGATACGTGGAGTAGAATACTCACCGTTGCCAATTTCCGCCGACTTCTGAATTTTCAGGGTTTTCTTTTGGGGTTTCCTTTTTTTCATGATCCCTCACTGAAAAAAAGTATGGTGACATCTACTATAAGTCTACTTGAATTTTTACACAGTGATAGCATTTAGTGAAAATGACCAGAATTACGGTAGTATTCACCTGAACTCTGCTGATACTTACCATTATATCGTCACCTTCCAGGCAAAGTATCGTAAGCGCCATTCGACGTTTAAAAATTTCCGCCGCCATTTTATTTTTTTAACTGAGAAATTGTTGGTTGAATCTGTTCGAAAATTTCACTAAATTTTATCGGCAGCACAAAGAAAATTCGGTGTAATTTTCGGACAGGTTCGTTGAACAATTTCTCTGTAAAAAAATATAATGGCGGCGGAAATTTTTAAACGTCGCATGGCGCTTGTGATACTTTGCCTGGAAGGTGACGATATGGTGAATGCTACCATTACCGTACTCATATCACTGTGTCAGAGTGTGGTAAAATCTACCATACTTTTTTCAGTGCTTCGTTGTGGAAATCATTGGTAAATTTTGAGTAACTTTATAAAATGGCTAAAAAGTGAAACCACGTGACTCCGTTTGCGACTTTGTAGACTTCGTGCCATGCTTTCTTTTTTCTGAGAAAACTGGTGAACGCAATTTCTTATGAAAACTTCCTCAGTTTTTCTTCTATGCTAGCAGAATATATACTTATATAGAATACGTATATTAGAATATATACTTATACATTTTAACCTATTTTTGGCGCGTATACGTAGTATACCGCCTTTGAGATCGTTTCGACCCCCCACTCGATACAATAACCGAGTCCCTTAGTTCCTTACCGGAAAGTGACTACCGCGAACTTCTGAGATCTCCCAAAGCGTGTAAAAAGTTTACTACTCCGTCAATAATTATGATTCAAATGTTTTTCTCATTCTAGGGCTTTCTAGTTTATGTGCAATGAATACCAAGAGTCTACGTTACTTGGTTTTTTTAAGAAAAGGCTGAGAATGCGCAGCGCTGATTTAAAATATGCATATATAAGCAGAAGCAAGCGAACTGATTCGAGGATTGCTGAGCAGGTTAGCACTCTAGCGCAACGGTGATTTGGGCATTTTAGCCCCAAAATACCTTTCAATCGTCTTTATCTTTCAGGAGCTCGACAGAATTTTTCCTTTCTTCGCTTAATTATTCCGTAGCACTTTTCTTCAAGAATCTGATAAGGTTTTGCTTGGGGAAGATCAAAAAACTTAAACTCGTTCGAATGCCTTTCTACATTCACAATACAAGGTCTCGTCAAATGTGCGTCGTTGACCTCGCAGTGTTGGATCGTGAATTCTCTTGTTGTGCTGCTTGCCTATTTTGAAATCTCTGTAAATGAAAACTAAGGTGTTGATAGGTGTGAGTTAATGACGCGCCTTATCAACACATTGTGTTGGAGTTCACTGCTTGTTTTCGGTTGATTCTCCTTAAAAAATGATACTTTGGAATACCGCAATGGACATACATACATGGTTTCACACTATGGTAATCGATTTTTTTCTGGTTTTTCAACTCTTGTCAAATTCCTTCCCCCTTTTTCATGAGAATGTTAATACTTCAACTTCGGGTGAATAACAATGTTAGAGAACTACGTAGTAGGCCTGAAGAGGTTTAGTTTATCAATCGAATATAAAACGTCTACCGCAAAATACCAAAAACTCGTCATTTTCAAAGACCACGTTATCAAACAACGACTAATGCAATTATGAGTGAGAGAGTAAAACAATATGCCCTTCAACAGACACCATATTTCTAAAGCGAAGCAAAGACTTCTGCCCATTATGCTGATAACAACACTGTTTTGACAAACGTGGTTTGTCATTACAAGGCCGTCGCTTGAACCAAATTCATACACGCATATGTCCTCCCCTCCCTTTAAATCATATGCGTGCGGATTAGCTAATGCTTATAACAAGACGCAGGGGGAGGGGGGGGGGCAGTGGTTTGTCACAAAAATGCGAGAGTCAACAACGGGAACGCAGACCGCGTGCTGTTTGCCCATCGTCGAAATTACACGCCTCAGTTCAAAGAAAGACGAAAGCCGATGACCGTTTGACAGTTTTGTGATTTTTATTATTCATGGTCTGTTGATCCTCACCTCCAAGCTACGCGTAGATCTGTTAGTAACGCCGTTGTGTAGAATAATTGTGAAGTGGAGTTGCTTTCAGAATGAGGATTTTTGACTTAACAATCAACTTCTGCGTAATATTCCGGAGGAGTAACTTAACGCCGATTTAATATGGAATCCACCCTTCCCCCTCCAAAAAAAAGTTTAAAAATTGAAATTTTGATTCAATAGCACCCGTTCTCTGTTGACCGTCATTTCCAGGCTGACTATCTTCTTGCAGCGATATGGGTATGGCCGAGAATGACAAATTGAATGTAGATGGATTTTATGTTATTGATCAAGAATGCTCATCATTACCATCTTTATTGAAAGAATGCAAGATCTTCATTTAAACTGAGGTGTTGAGAAAAATAAAGTAGCTTTTTCTTCTTCTTCTTTTATTTTTTTTATTTTCTTTTATTTAATTTAATGTTTATGATGATGTCCCAGAAAATTTTTTGATCCCCCCATCTCCGACTGAAGGCTCCTTTAGAAAAAAATTTAAAGGGTCAAAAGTCTTGTTTTGACCCATAAAAAACGCCCCCGCAATCTGACCGTGTAATTCTCAGACATCCTGCATAATAAGTTGACACGTTGGGAGACTTTCAGAATAAAATGGACGACATTTTGCGCTGAAGAACGATTATTCCAGGCTCGTGTCAAAAACAGCGTATATGTAGTGATAAAAAGGATTGACGAATTTTTCCAGGAGTGTGGTTAATTTAACATTATTCTACTTGATTTTTGACACAGTCATATTGTATGGTATTGAAGGCGTGACATCTGGTGCCATTTACCATTTTTGATGAATGCGACTAAAGTTACGGTCGTTGCTATCATTAAAGTCTGCTTGTAATTACTGTGCTCATATAACCGTCACTGCATAAACCATTCTTTTTTTCTCAGTGTGCAAGTCGATCCTTCTTAGAAAGGTTTCCAGCCTAAGATAGTAATTCTATATTGCAAAAAAATACACCAAACTTCCAACGAGAAACGTCGTGAATCGAAGGTCGAGGGAAGTCAACATCGATGGCAAAAATGTGACACCACGTATCTCCGTTAGCAACACGTCGCAAACTACCTGCCATACTTTATTTTTTCATTGAAAAACTAGTCGACTTAGTTGACTTAATTTCTTGAAAACTTCCTTAATTTTTCTCCTTTAATAGGAGCTTTAAAAACGTCAAGCCAAACACTTGACATGTTTCTCTCAGAGAAATTAAAATAGGAACAGAGATTTTGAAAAACCCATTTTGGACTTGACTGAAAATAAACTCGGTCATGTGAACCGAACGTTCGGTGTTCCATTTTATCTCAATATTCGGTTTGTCAAATTGAACTTTCGGTTCGTACAACCAAATGAGCGGCATATACAACCGAACTTAGTTCGTCAGTTCAGTTTACCGCACAGGTTCGGTCACACGAACCGAAAGTTCGGTTTGACAAACGGGAAAATCAGTTTGACGAATCGAATTAGTTGGGATGATATGGAACACCGAACTTATCGATATTTCTGTGAAAAGTTCCACGACACCTCGCTGCGTAAAGGGACCGAACACAAGTCGGTTTTTTCGACTGGGCAGGATTTTTTGCCGCAGTTGCTCGGCCCGGGCTGATGAGGATAAATCGTGGAAATTCACTTTGAAAAATGACAAGAATCAAGGTTTCGTCGGACGGCTCTCTCAGGAAGCGGGGGATGCTTTATCTCGGCGCGACCGGCCGCGCTCTCCTCAATTTTTTCTGCAGCAGCCGTGCAGCCCAATTTTTCGTCAAGTGGCGTGAAAAATGAGAGAGCTCAGGGGGATTATTCGTGGCGGCGCTGATGACTCAATAAATATAAAAACGGCTCCAAAATTTTCCGCGGCATCAAAACTCGGGAGAGGGGAAGGGAGATAAAGGAGCCGAGGAGCTCCGGGGCGCCTGGCTTCGTAGGCACCCCTAACGGCGTGGGCTTGAAAACGACCCCTCTCCCCCGTGATTTACAGCGTAATTATGTTCTTGCCTCTGTAGTCGCTTTGAACCACTTTTCAACCGCCC